TAATTATTTGGTTGCATGAAAAATGGCAATATACAGCTCTGGAGAGACCACCTTTTTGCACCAGGAGTGGCATAAAGCAGTGTGTAAGACTGGTGGAGGAGAACATGCCAAGATGCATGAAAACTGATTAAAAAACAGGATTATTCCACCAAATATTGATTTCTGAACTCTTAACAATTTATGAATATGAACTTGTTTTCTTTGCATGATTTGACGTCTGAAAGCTCTGCATATTTTTTCTTATTCTGCAAATAAATGCTCTAAATTACAATATTTTTATTTGGAATTTGTGAGAAAATGTTATCCATAGTTTATAGAATAAAACAACAATGTTCATTTTACTCAAACATATAACTATAAATAGCAAAATCAGAGAAACTGATTCAGAAACTGAAGTGGTCTCTTAATTTTTAAAGAGCTGTATATATATGTAAGTTTAACTTGATTACAAATATACTGTACTTGCATGCACTCTATATATAAAATATATATACAGTTATCATTCAGCAGAGGAATTTGCATCCTCTTTGTAGTGATACAGTATTTTTTTCATGCATAATTTCATGTCTTCATTCATATCTTCTCTTTTATTTAAAAAGCTCCATCTGATCGGATCCCACCCATCATCCGCCAAGGCCCGGCCAATCAGACGCTTGTTCCTGGAACCACTGCCCAGCTGCAGTGCTATGTGATGGGCAACCCGTTACCCAGCATCCAGTGGGAGAGAGACGGACAAAGGATTCTAGGGAATGACGAGCGTGTCACACTAATGGACAATGGCACTTTACAAATAACAGCCCTCCAGGTACTGTAAACAAGTGTGTGTGTGTGTGTGTGTGTGTGTGTGTGTGTGTGTACGTGTTTTGTTTGTTCCTTTAAATATTGGTTCCCAAGAGACATTAGCAAAAAGCGCTTGTTTTTTTTATTATTATGTCTTTGTTATTTCAAAGTTTCATTGCTCCATGTCCCATCTGACAGGTACCATATGCTGTTAGACTCACGTCTTTTATATTTATCTCACAGCACAGCAGCAGGCGGTACAGAACGGGACACACTGTGTGTGTGTGTTCATGTTGTGTGTAGCACTCCAGTCGATGAAGGGGTCAGGTGTGAAGTATTCAAATTGACAGCTAATAGAAACATCTCATTTGTAGATCTGCTATTAGTATCTGCCCTGTGTGTTTGTGGGTGAACCAGCTGTCACGCAGGAGAGGTGTACAACAACAAAGCTGCTGATTATGACAGTATAAACATTATATACACATATAAACACCAACATACTGTTTGTAAAATTAACAGTAGTTTTCATTCAGATTCATTCAGCCGGTGTGTGCATGTACGCACGTGTGTACATGCTGTGTGTTTTTAGCCGAGGGGGCACCCACCACAATGACCAAGGATGATGGGTTAATTGATTGCGGCCAGGAAAGATTAACGATCGCTCAGCCTTTAATTAAATGCTCGTTCGGCTCTAGAGAGTGAGAGAGAGAGAGAGGCCGTGAAAAACAGAGCGAGAGGTCATGTAATCTCTATGAGCTACTGTACTCCCAGCAACCCTGCTTTGTAGTCAGTAGTCACTAATGAGTAACTGATTAAAATTTTCCTGATTGCTATCTTCTCAGCACCCACATGCAGACTGTTTGACACTCTTCAGCACACATCACCGTACTTGCTATGCGCAGTCAGTATAATTATATCACAAAGTGCGCCTTGTGAACACCTGCAGTGCAAAAGTGAGACCGTAACCGCTTCATATCCACAGCGCTCTTCATTTAGCTCCGTTTGTCATGTGGGAAATTTATTAAAAGCATTGAAAAAATGCTGCTTTTTGCCACACTGCCAGCCACCTCTGATCTTGAAAAAAGGCAGCTTATTATAGTATATACATTACATTATATAACATAACATTATACTGTATATATACAGCTCTGTAAAAAAAATAAGAGACCACTTAAAATGATGTGTTTCTTTAATTTTACCAAATTGAAAACCTCTGGAATATAATCAAGAGAAAATTGGATGATCACAAACCATCAAACCAAGGTGAACTGCTTGAATTTTTGCACCAGGAGTGGCATAAAGTTATCCAAAAGCAGTGTGTGAGACTGGTGGAGGAAAACATGCCCTGATGCATGAAACTGTGATTAAAAACCACCAAATATTGATTTATTCCACCAAATATTGATTTCTGAACTCTTAAAACTTTAGGATTGTGAACTTGTTTTCTGTGCATTATTTGAGGTTTGAAAGCACTGCATCTTTTTAAATTTTTAATGTATTTTTTTTTTTGTTATTTCAGCCATTTCTCAAAATAGTTCGCCAGACTATTTAAGATAACCTTTTGCATTTTGAGTAGAAATGTTCTATGTTGGATCATATTTAGGGCAGATATTTATATGTAATATTTGAAAGAATCATTTATCAGCTATTTTAAGCTTGATCCAAGTCCATTCCACATGTATATATATTTTATTAGCATATTTTGTCAGCATATTTTGGCTTTCATCCACATGAAAGCACTGTTTTATATAACTAACAACAAAGTTTTCAACAGTTCTCTCCAAGGTGGGGACATTTGAAAATGCTGTTTTTCATGTTGTCGTGTAGACAGGCAAAACAGAGCCTTATTTGAATGCTGACATCAGAGTGCATGCATGTTTTGTCTGAATCTCATCAATAAGTTGTAAAACTACAATTTCTACACAATTTTGACTTTGACTAGAGTACATCCCACCTAAACCACCAGCATTAAGAAATTGTAAAAAAAAACATCCATAGTCTACATTATCCTAGCAGCAAACCTAGTAGTCAACTACAGTCAGTATGTATGGTCATATTTTTATTCTACTCATTTACAAAAAATCATATGTTTTGTTTTATATTTGAATAAGAGTGGCTGTGTTGCAGAGTGGTAACCCTGTTCTCTATGGCCTCTGTCTATTTTGACCCTCTTTAGCACTCTCAAACCAAAATGGTCATGTGCGACACAACATGACACTATGTTTTTAACAGATGGCTGTAAAGAGAGATGGACACTCTGACCCAAAAAGGAAGAGAAAATAATTTCAGGGTGGTGTACAGTTAAAAGAAAGAGGACTGAGAAGGAGCGGCATAGACCTAGAAGGACATGCATCAATAATCGGAAAATTTCTCATGCAATTTTTGCCATGATTAATCAAAAGACACCCACTGAGCACGCTCAGTACTTGACCAGTCAACTACCTGCAGTGTTCATGGCCGACCAATTAAGTTATGCTGTCATAAAAATATTTGTGCGTCATGTTTCAATAAGTAACTGATATATATATATATACAAATACCTCACCCAAACTGTGAAGCATTATGGTTTGAGGCTGTCTTTTTATACATGCCCACATATTTATCTATTTTTAACATGTAAAATCATTACATATCAATTTTATAGTTGATAATCTATGGATTAAATCTAAGTATAGTCTTAGTCTAAGGTCACACAGTATGTGGCTGAAGAAAATTCAGGAACCGTAACATTGAGTGCCTGGTAATATAGGGCCATGCCCTGCTGTATGTGTATATGTGTGTCTGTCTGTGTGTGTGTGACCTCAGAGATGTGAGTTGTGCCCCTGAGCTGTCACAACTATTAGATCTTGGTCACACAGAGGGAAAAAAACAGCAGCATCTTCCACTGGTGTAAACAATTTCAGCCCCGGTCCTGCCCCTTGGTATGAGAGTAAAAATTTAATGGCTCTCACCTTCCATGTCTACCCCTCCTTTCCTTCTTCCCTCCTCCCCTGTCTCTCTGTCCTTTCTATCTGAACACACACACACACACACACTCCGACCCATCTTTACTGATTGACTGTGCTATTGATGACTGTGAGTGTCCTGCCAGAACACACTGGACAACCACTATAGAGATAAAGTGATGGGTCATATTTACCATTATGACTACACAAATAATTCCAGTAGGTAATTTGAGGAGTTTTAAGGTACTTCTTTTTGTTTTTGTTTGTTGAGCTTTAATTCTGTTCAGAAAATTATCTTTTATTCCCATTGGAAATGTATACTACCATAAAAATATTAGCTCATCATCACCAGCATCATTTTAGTCTAATATCATGAGGCAAAAGATCAGTCATGCCTTTGTTCAAATCTCATTAAACTTTAAAGCATGGTGGCGGAAGCATCATGTTTTAGGACTGCCTGAGCACTTGGACGCTTTGCAGTCATTTAAGAAACAAAGAATTCCAAGATGTAATAAACATTTAAAAGCAAAATTAAAAAGTGCAATTTTATTGTATTAGTTTAGTTAGATTGTGTTTGTCTATAATTGTAACTTAAATAATAGTCATACCTCTGTTAAATGTTTTATTATTAATCCAAATTATTTCTGATGGCTTCCTCACTTGATTTTGAATTTGAATTTTGAACTATTTATAATATTATTTATTGATTCCTTTGATCTATATGATGCTATCTGTCGTATCTAAACTGTGTGTGGACGTTTTATCAGTTCAGTAACCTTAGTTCACAGAAGTTATGTGTGGTATGTGGTCCAGCAGTGTATGCGGGGAGGTGCTGAAAGTTAAAGACCTCAGAGCGGAGATTTATCACAGTGCCGGAGTGTCTGCAGGCTTTATGCTGTTGTATGTCCATACGAACACTGACCCTGATCTTGCTGTTGCTAGGAAACGGACTCGGGGGTCTACACCTGTGTCGCCTCAAGCTCCAGCGGGGAGACAAGTTGGAGTGGAGTAATTACTGTGAAAGGTAACACTCACAAACACACACACACACACAAATCCTTATCTCTAGTTTGGCAATTTATTAGACAAAACTATGTCCAAGAATGTCCGAGTTACATACTTTAAAAATACTTCACTGTCATAACTTTTTATATACAGATTATACAGTATGCTGTAGTTCCAAGTGATGACTGTAACATAAATAATAATTAAGCAGTATATTAGTTTATAGACTAATATTTTGTTCTGTGTTTATGCATTACAGACAGTGGGGGCATGACTTTAGCTCCTGCCTCAGAGCCCTACCAGCTGCCCGGTCCTCCCCAGAAGCCCGTTGTGACAGACGTGACCAAGAACAGTGTGACCTTAACCTGGCAACCCAACGCACATGAGGGCGGGGCCGCGGTCACATCTTACATCATCGAGGCCTTCAGGTATGCACTGTGTACTGCAGCAAAATTTCTCTTCTCATGCATATGCATAGATGAATAGACTAATAGTCTACTGACTACAGATGAATTAAATACAAACAAACACACAAACACATTCATTTCCACTGCACGGTATCTACACTACATGAATCTACTTGATTTTGCTCGCCTTTTGGTGCCTGGTACCTGGTTGGTTTCCAGTTTTAACAGTGACTCTTGTTCAAAGTTAGTAAAATTAGTTTCAGTGGCAGAAAATTATTACCACAAAACAAGGAACGTTTATACCCTTATAAGCTACCATTATGTGTCAGATTTTTTTTTAATTAAACTAAATTAAACTATTGTGGCTTGGAGATACTGTGTACAGGGTGTCTGCGTTGCTTTGCATTGAGTGATGATTCTAAATAAACCAAGTCAAGTGAAGAGGCTTTTGTTGTAATTCCATCTGAGTACACAGTACACAGTGCAACAAAATTACGTTCTCCGGAAATATCGTGCAACTTGGAACAAGCAGTATAATATAGATAACAAAAAGTGCAAATGTGCAACAATTTATGCACCTTAGAACAAGAATACTACGATAAATACAATAAAAAACAGCAGACGTTTTAGTCAGTACTCTGTTACCAGATACCAAATTTGCCTTGTGAACAAGCAAAAACGAAAAATAAAGGATCAGGTAGATTTGTGAAGGTATCACACAGTGGAACAGTGCCAAAACAGTTTTAACTGAGCTTAGATTGTTCATCTGAGCCCAAGTATAGTCCATATAGCTGTATTACTAATTTGACGTTATTGAGATTATAGGTCAAAGTGGTCCAAATCCAGCATATTTTGTTGCACATTATATCTATAAATGTGGCCTATTTCTGACATTTTTTGCTAGATTTTAGTACCTTCCGCCAGCAGCAACTCCTCTTGTAGGACATTCTTCATTTTTTTATTAATTGAGTGTCAGTGTGTCAGGGATGTTGGCCAAGCGTGACAGACACGGGGAAAGTATAGCCCTGTGGGTGCCCTATCCTTGACCCCCTCTCTCTCTCTATCTCTCTCTCTCTCTCTCTCTTTTGTGCTTTCTTTCTCTCATTCTTTCTCTCTTTTTCTATAAGCTCACATATATACGACACAGTGAACTCTAACCTACACTTAAGACTCGTATTGCCCTGCAGCTGTAGAATCCATATCTTCCTGCCTCTTTGAACACCACCCTCCTCCACATAAAGCAATAAGTTTAGCAGCACAGCCCAGACAGACTGAGGGCTAGAATATGACATGCTAATGAATTCAAAACGCAGTCCGCCCGGACAGCTCTTTAGGCTATTGTAAGCCTGCTGAAACGAGGCTAGCTCTAATTACAGAGCCGACGTCCTGTGGGCTTCAGAAGCGAGGGCTCATAGAGGGCGCGATGCAAGCCGTACGTACAGCAGTGCCACACACACAAATACAAACACACATATACCACGCGCATACACACAGAGCTTCATCTCTCCCTTTCATGGCCCCTAGGCAGTGGTTTGCACTAGCACACGACCCAAAATTGATTCTTTATAGAGTGCTCTGGGGGTGAATGGCATGTTTACAATAACATTTCCTAGCCTGAGGTGCTGAGGGACATGGAGGGAAGGGAGATGGAGGATGAGGCGTGAAGAGAAAAAGAAGGATAGAGGAAGGAGGGGTACAAATTGAAGGAAAGGAAGGTGGAGGTGACAGCTTTAAATGGAAAAATTCAGATTTATGATACTACCACCCCTACCGTATTCACTGGTGAAGGCATGCTTATAAAGCATGAGAAACGAGAAGGTTCACTCTTAAACGTATACATGGGTTCCATGGTGGTTCTTGGCTGGCTTGAAGCGTATGGTTATAGAAGGAAAAACTTTGTTAAAATGGTTTGTTAAATGTTAAACTGTAAAAGAAATCTCCATATACACACATATAGGCCTGTTATGATAACTATACATAATTTTGGGAAAGATATTTTGTCCCCATATTGATATTATTGATATATTGTTAGGTTGTAAATGATAATAACATGTATTATTACATGTATTAATGTTATTTCACCCTTTACAGAACAGAGGATTTTTAATCAATAGTAAATTGGAGATTCTGTTTTTGGCTTTCATACTCCATTTCCTACCCAATTTGAAAGGCTATTTACCAAATCACCATTTATATAAACACTCCATCATTAACAATGCCCTCAAAACTTGGAGGGTGAAGACTAGCACGTGCTAATTCATCCTCACAGATGCATTATGCCTTCCTAACCAACATCACACTGGTTGTGATAAGGAAAGGAAATGCCATCAACCCAGCTCTAAGAAAGCATTGATATTCAGCACTCTCTCTGACTTTGGCAGCTGATGTCTTCAAGCAGGCTAAGCTATATTAGAGTCAATGCTTAATGGCTATATGTAGCAGGCTAAGATATATTGCGTGACTCCTCCTTAGGTCTGATACAATAGCTAACAGATAGCCGTGCTAACCAACATCACACTGGTGGTGCGATATGGGAAAGAAATGCCATCAACCTACATCTGAGAAAGCACTGGTAGTCGGTGCTCTCTCGGACTTCTGCTGCTGATGTCTTCAAGCAGGCTAAGCTATATAGCAAGCTATGCTACTGTATAGAGCAGGCTAAGCTATTCACTAAGCTGTTCAATTTAGCATGCACCATTTTGTGCTTATTTTAGGGATTAAAATCTGTCAGCATACTTGTTCACATTGATATGCTCTCTGTTCTCATTTTATTTAAAGCCAAAATGTTCTCACACTGGTGCATGAAATGCAGGTCCATTTGGACTCACTCTTTCAAACTTTATGACAAAAATTATGCAGTCTCTGGAGAAAAACAGCTGATAGACTTGAGTGACTTGAATGTCTTTATCTGTCACACTCTATGCTTATATATGGATGCACATATTATTGATGCGTTGGTCATTGTGTTTATGTAAGCAAACAGGCAGGTAAACATAATTTAGGCAATACTGAGGTCAGCAAAATTTATTGAGGTCAGGTTGAGGTCATAAATTATACGATAGGTCGATAACATAATTACTGAGACTGTGTTACAAAAATGTCTTTAAGGAACCTTTTAAGGGAAGTTGTTGTGTCTTTGTAATGACAGCTAAAGCACCTTTATCTTTTAGAATAGAGCATCTTCTTTTGTGCTCATCCTCATATGTGTAGGCATTCTTTATAAAGGAGAAGAAAAAGAAGAGTGGAGAGAAGAGAGACCAGTACTCTGCGTTGATACCACTGCTTGGTGTGTTCGTTCTCTCAGAGCCGATGGCCAAAGTGACCTTGGATTTATGGCCTCTCTGGCAGTGCTTCAGGCTGAATATTTACGAGCCTCCCGGTGCTCCTGGCTCGATGTAATGGTGCAGGTTGGCTGCGCAGGGGCTGCGTCTGCAGCGCGAGGAGTCGCGGGGGGGAAATAAAGCGCTAAACGTGGCACACGTGATGGCTGCAGTAAACAAGGGTGCTGGTTAACTGCAGACAAATGAAGAGACATGGAGCAAAGCTAGCGCCGCTGTGGACAGATGTGCGGCCTTAAAATTCATGACTTCTTTTATTACACAGGGAGATGTATAATGTGAATCTAATCTAGCTTTACACCTGCATGGACTGAACAGAGGAGTCTCTTGTGCGGCTTTTCGGAAATGTGATTATTCCTGGATTTGGGAGACCTTGGAGAATCTTCTTTTTTAAAACGAGCCGAGCACCGCTGCTATCTGTATAAAGTTCTCAAGATTGAGAGCTCTATTACGTTCCCTTGAATATTTTATTATACTCTTTGGCAAGCAGTAAAATAGAATATATGCTAAATTGCCACTGCACTACATAGGTGCACTTTATAGCAATACAATTACTGACAGAGGCCCATCTGTTGCTGCACAGTGTACACTGATGAGCCATAACAGGCCTGTCTTAATAATTACATTATGGACTTATCGTACAGTAAATGGACATGCCCTTATTAATTTTATGCTGACCTCAATATTGTTTATTATATCAATTTACAAATTCCTAGTAAGGAACAGGGGTGTCGCCATGTTTTCCTTCTAAATCAGCACCTGTAAAGCTAAGCTAAGTTAAGAAAAAAATATATATATATTGAAGTGAAACGAGCACTTGTTAATTTACACTAATTCTTATTCTGAAAACTATTTATTTGGGTGAGTAAAGCACTTCTATTTACTTACAATAAGCTTAGATTTCCAAAAAGGCTAGGTGCAGCAGCATTAGCAACTAACTGCTAGCACTAGCCATGGTTAGCAGCTAATGCCCCCAACACTTTCGTATCAGTAGTCAGTTTCTCCTCACTGGACCACCTGTTGACTAGATATTTCTATGGATGATGGACTGTCCTCCACCCAACACAGATAAAAACCTAATTTTAACCCAAGACTTTACTTCAAAGCAGGTATGAGCAGATATGAGCAGTTATATCAGTCTTCTATCGCCAGCTTGCTCTGTGCACACCAGTTGCATTCAGTTCAGCATTCAGTTGTTTGGTTCCTGGTGTGTAAGCTCTGCTCGTGCTAAAAATACGCCTGTCATCACAGAGCACTGTCATACATCCAGGAACCCAGCGGTGCCTTACTTCAGCAATGAGGAGCGTCATCCAGCAGAACATGTAATGGCTATCTCCAAGCTCGCAGATGATCAGCCATGACACTGACATTCACAGCTACACCACACACAGCGCTCCCGCAGTGATTCTGTAAATGACAGGGTAGCACAGAGAAGTGAATGCGGTTTGTGTGGTGCTCAGTGGATTTCTGCTCAAGGGCTTGAATTGTTTAATGCTTGTTTTTATTTTGCAGTTGTAATCGTCAGATGAATGAAAAAAGTGAAAAAAAAGTGCTCAATTGAAATTGAATATTAAAGTTTTGAAGTTTTTGTAGTACTCTGCGTTGATACCACTGCTTGCAGGTAGTACCTGGCAGACAGTCGCAGATCTGGTGAGGCTGGAGAAGCATACAGTTAATGGTCTCTCTCCCAACACCATCTACCTGTTCATCGTGCGAGCGGTCAACGCCTATGGCCTGAGTGATCCCAGCCCAATCTCTGAGCCAGTTCGCACACAAGGTATGCATGTGGGATAATTGAACTGTGGAATGCATCATGATCATGCAGGATCTCTATACAGCTGCTTTGTGGCTTTGTATAATAAATAGACTTGTCATGGCCTCAGTTTATTCAAATGAATAGAAATGTATAACCTATTTAAAATAAGTCAAATAAAGTGATTTATGTATGGTCTGATGTTTGTATTTCTGTTTACGTTTAGACGTGAGTCCAACTGGACAAGGAGTGGACCACAGGCAGGTGCAGCGGGAGTTGGGGGAGGTGGCTGTGGAACTGCAGCAGCCGGTACTGTTGACTGCATCCAGTGTACAGCTTGCTTGGACTGTGAGTACTGATACTGACAGTATCTACCTTCTGAATTCACTGTGTAGCTTTGAATCACATGAGCAAGTCTATTGATTCCACACAATAAAATGAAAGGTAATAGGTAAAAATGTTCTTAACAGTGATGAGTAACAATAAAAATAGGCTTAGAATGTAATGTATTTGTATTGTAAAGTATGATATTAAAGATAATTTAAAGAGTTTAAAGTGGTGTCAGATCAACTACGACTACAAATCAGTTAAAAACAAAAGCAAAAGCTTTACACTTTGTTCTAACTAAAGTGTCCTGACTAAAGTCACTCCTTTGGTTGCAAGGTCAGTTCACACCAAGCAAGATCATGTTGTAATTACTGCACTAAGTGTCCTCTGTGTGTCTTTCTCTTGTTCTCTAACAGGTTGACCGTCAGTCCCAATACATTCAAGGCTATCGGCTGCTGTACCGGCCGGTGGGGGGGCTCCTGGCTCCAGCAAGATGTTAAGGCAGCCCCCGAGCGCAGCGCTGTCCTCAGCAACCTGCTGAAAGGCACTGAGTACGAGGTCAAAATCAGACCATATTTTAATGAATTCCAGGGCATGGACAGCCGACTGCTGACACTGCGCACTCCTGAAGAAGGTGAGATTCTGCTTTAGAGGGATTTTATTAGATTTAAAACAAATCCCAACATAATAGCTTTTATCAAAGGCTCTAAAGTTCCAGTGTTGTTTTTTTTTTTGCACAGTACACTTAGACACACTTCCTGAGCCAAGGATGACTTTTAAACTTTTACTTGTTATTGTCTTTCCTGTCAGTTCCCAGCGCTCCCCCTCAGGCTGTTACTGTGTCAACAGTCAGCTCAGCAACAGCTCCAGCATCAGTGTTACATGGCAGCCTCCCCCCGCTGAGATGCAGAATGGAGTCATCCAAGAGTACAGGGTAAGAGGATTGGCCATTCAGGTAGAAAATTGAATGGAGCAGCCCCAACAAGATTTCTATCTGAGAGACATGAAGCCTTGGACCTTTTTTTGTTCATAACAGAGTCAGAACTGCAGGGAAAAATATTATTATTCGTTCTCTTACTAGCCAATAAAATATAGTGAAATACACATTAATTTAAAGGAAGTATACAAAACAATACTAACTTGTATTTAATAACTGTTAAGTCTGTATTTCCAAGAAGATATGGCTTAGTACTTGATTATTATTGATGTTATTGAACATATAAAAAAACTTACCCTCTATGTTAAGAGGAACAGTTCTTTCAAAATGCTCCTTAAAAAATCATTTTGGGCCATTTCTATCAGTCTCTTCATCATAAAACCAAAACATCAACAGTAAAATTGGCTAAAATGAAGATAGAAGATTATTTTGCAGGAGTCACACCATAAATTAAAGCTCAGAGCACATTTTGTTCCTCTGGTCTTATAGCACACTATTGCCAACAAAAGCATTCAGTGGTGTATTGACTTCACTGTGCTTCACTGAAGTAAGTGCTGACCGGTGCACTGTGTTCTTTCCAGATCTGGTGCCTGGGAAATGACTCGCAGACACGCTACCACATTAACCAGACTGTAGATGGGAATGTTCTGTCCACTTTGGTGAAGGGTCTGCTTCCTGGTGTGCTGTACCTGGTGGAGGTTGCAGCAGTGACCAGCGCTGGCGTGGGCACACACAGCCAGCCAGTCTCTGTAACAATCAGTGAGTTTTTACTTAAGTTTTATGTTAGTCTAAACTGTTAGTCTAGAATAAATTTCTAGTCTAAATTACATAGTGTCATGTTTTCGCCTATCATAAAATGTGCAACAATGGGCTAAAATGGTCTCATATGGATTTATTTGACAGTAATGATATATCAATGCTGCTACCACAAATAGTTGTTGTTACTGAAAGCAATCAAATCCTCACAGCAATGCTCCAAACTCCATAAAGTGTATTTTTTTTTAATTAAAGTGAAAGTTTACAAAGGAATTAGTCATAGAGCATCAGTTATACTGTAAACCCAAAATTAGTTTGAACTCCAACAAATTAAGTCTGTTTTGTTTTTTGCATACTGGATATGTCCCTCAGTTTCTGACACTCAAAATCAGTGTGAAGTGATTCCTCCCTCCCTTAGTAGATTATATATTATGATTTAACTGCTTGGCCTTTATGTTGTAGGCTGTAAGAACAAGCATCACTTTGTAAGCTGCTAAATCTAACTGTGTTAGCTGTGCTCTCAACAATTTTTTACTCTATAGCAATTTCTTTCTTCATCTAATTTCTATGAGTATTTCTAATCTGTATTTGTTAGACTAAATATAAATCTACTGAAATTTACCTGACCATAACATTCAGAGTATGCAAAGCATTTGAAATGAGCTTACAATTTAGGCATAACAACTAGTTTTAAGCCTAATTAACTCTTACAAATTATAAGGCAACCGATTTCCTCAACTAATTTATGTAAATTCAGCTTATCCAGGTTTACAGTGTAGGCAGACTTGCCTAATTGCATTGCAGTGAGGATTTGATTGTTTTGAAGTTTTGAGGATTTGAAGTTTTCAGGAAACATTACTTAAAAATCCTAAAGCAACCAGTTTACTCAAAAAATTAAAGTAAAGTCAGTTTATCCAGGCTTACAGTGTAGTCTATAGCAAAGCAAAGAGTATAATCTGTGTGTTCTTTTTAAACAGGCTTGTTGATTTTGGTCCGTTTTGAGGTGCTGAAAAATAACCGGCAATAGTCTTCGATAAGCCATGCATGGAATATTTTTTATTCCATTTTAGGTTATCTTTCTGACTCTCTCTCTCTCTTTCACTCTCTCTGTCAGAATTGCCTGCAGAGCAGCCTGCAGTACCAAGTGGAGGCGGCGACTCGGATCAAAACGTAAGTCTTGCAGAGCAGATCACAGACGTGGTAAAGCAACCCGCCTTCATCGCGGGCATTGGCGGGGCATGCTGGGTAATCCTCATGGGCTTCAGTGTGTGGATATACTGCCGACGCAAGAAGAGAAAGGAGCTGAGCCATTACACTGCTTCGTTCGCATACACACCCGCAGGTACACACAAACACACACATACACATTCACATATACGCGTACACACAAACATAAGACATTAGCATTTTTATGACCTAAATAGATTAGTTAGCACTAACCTAATGAATATGTTACTATCTCTGTGCTTTCTCCTGCAGTTGGCTTTCCTCATGGGGAGGCCTCAGGACTCAATGGAAGGTTAGTGCCTCAGTACACAGCTAAAGCTGCTGTTTGGTTGAAGGTGGATTTTGGAGGAATTACAAATAAGAACCCTGTTGTTTATCTTTTTTGCTTTCAGGCCTGGAGTGCTCGGCTCTAACATGGGGAACTACCCTTGGCTGGCTGATTCCTGGCCCACCACAAACCTTGTTCATAATGGCAAAGACTCAGTCAACTGCTGTACCACCAAACATGACACAACAGAGAGATATTACAATGGTAATAACTTGTGTATTCAATATATATTTCATAAAATCAGATCAGCCCTATCTTACACCCTGCACAAGGTGGTCTCAAAGCTTATTGCTATCTTACACCTCGCAAATAGTATATGCTCATGTCTTGCAACCTGCGCCGTTTAAATAGCAACAGTGCTTACAAATATATCTACGCCGATATGTGTATGGGTCTCGAAATGAGTTGTGTTCAGGTAAACTCTGTGTGTATTGCTATCTTGGCAGTGGAAAATTTAATATAATATTTAATATAATAAATCTCCTAGCTTTCAAAGAATTATTGTTTTGAAGATTAACTAATGTTCAGTAATTGTTCAAAAATGCAATGCAAACTTGCTTAGGTAGTAATCATATTGAGGCTTTAATAATGAAAAGATTTTGCATGAATACATCTTAAAACCTTTCCTTCTTTACTCTTTCAGAGGTTGGAATCTCCAACTATCTGAACCAGACTGAGAAGTATAGCACTGGTTCCAATGAGGGTCCTATCTACAGTACCATCGACCCCACTGCCGAAGACCTGCGCAGCTTCTCAGCCCAGTATTCTCAGCACACTACGCCTTACGCCAGCACTCCCATCATGCCTTTCACCAACCAGGCACCCTGCAGCCCTGAGCAGGATGGAGGCCACTGGATTAACCAACCAGGAACCTCTAATGTGCAGTATGCCCAGCCAGACCGGTCCAAATCAGATAATGGTACAGAGAATTAAACACTGCAAATGCAGTTTTACTGAAGTTTCCATTAAATCTTTCCTTATGTAATAGTTAACTTACCTATATTATGTTCTGTTATCTCTATAGCCAAGCAGTCTAAGCAGAAGTCAATGGGAAAAGCAGTGAAGACTCCTTCTCTAAACTGGATAGAGCCATTGCCCCCGCCTCCCCCCTCTGGAGAGTTAGACCACTGCGAAGATGAAGATGAGGATGAACATATAGAGGATATAGGGTAAGAGTTTGTTCCCAATAGCTGGCTTTACACTCCACACAACCAGCTTTTTCACTTACAGATGAGATGTACAGTCAAAAATTGCTGTTGTATGAACTTTTAATTTAATGCTGCTAAAGATTTCCTTTCAATCAAATAGAACAGAGTCAGCATGTATGGATTTTCTTTTTTACCGTAGCATAAAATGCAGTTACACTTTTAATGTCAGCATATTTTCAATTTGTAGGTCAAACAGCCACTTTGGTTCATTTTTAAGTTTGGTTTTGAACTGATTTACCCTCTGTCTGTGGGGATTCTCATTGAGAATTCATTTTAGCCTTTGGCTAAGCTTACACAGTGTGCTTTAGAGTAAGTTTTAGAAATCTTTTCTGACTTTTCTTCAGAGCTCATAAATACTTCTGCTGAAGGCTTTTGCTTAATATGAACTATTCTCATTAGTTATTTTATGGTACTCCAAAACAACACAATTATTGTCCACTATTTGCTCAAAAAACACAGCTCTGGAAAACAATTAAGAGACCACTTACATTTCTGAATCAGTTTCTTTGATTTTGCTATTTATAGGTATATGTTTGAGTAAGTAAAATGAACATTGTTGGTTTATTCTATAAACTACAGACAACATTCGCCAAATTCCAAATAAAATAGTCATTTTGGCATTTGGCATTTTCTCCTCCACTAGTCTTACACAATTCTTTTGGATAATTTTATGCCACTCCTGGTACAACAATTTAAGCAGTTCAGCTTGGTTTAATGGCTTGTGATCATCCATCTTCCTCTTGATTATATTCCAGAGGTTTTCAATTTGGTAAAATCAAAGAAACACTTTTTGTTTTTCTTTTTCATTCCAGAGCAGTGTTACCAATAAATGTATTAGAATTCTTGACTGTTTTGAGCATCATTACAGGTTATGACATGTGACAGTGATGCTTATTATTTATATTTTAGTTAAGAAAGTTAACAGTTTGTTTGGCTGGCTGAAAGAGAGTACTCTGAAGCGAATACAGTATCTACTATCTTGCTGTTGCATAAGAAAGTCTGGAATTTTCCTTAAATTTCTCTGGAACAGTTGTTTCATTAGCAGTGCCCCTAGCAAACGTTATTGGCCCTGACAGGGCTCTCAGTTGTGGCAAACAAGTTTGCAAAGTTTGCAACATCGTGGCCTGTGCTCTGGGCTGTACCTTATTCCCTTGTGTGGCATGTAGCTTTCTGCCTGTCTGCAGGCTGAATTCTCCTGTTCTTTCCTCTCTCGATATCGCATTACACTCGCATTAGTGTGTGGTGAGGTTAGCGTTAGCCGCTGAGTGGCCCGGCCGCGGAGTACTCCTGCGTTGATACCACTGCTT